GTCCACCAAAAAGTGAAAGTTGTGGGTCATCAGGAGGTAGTCACCACACACGGTGTCCGGTGACCCGGCCGGGTGTATAACTGTAAATCAGTATATGCCTATGGATCAAGTTTCAGTTCCAAAAAAAAGAGTTTCAGTTCAGGGTCCTTGTCAACTCCTCATGTTACTTTGCCGACTCATGCATAGTCATCCTTTGCCATGGTCAAAGTCAAATAAGTGGCCCCTCTCGTGGCCCTGGGGTCACAACTCACACGGTTGGTGCCTTTAGGCATTAGATTTTTACTTTGCCACCACCAAACACAGAATCAAAACCACGCACTCTTCGTAACCTAAAAAGTTGATAGAATATAACGTAGACAAACGGTCTCCAACCTTACGAAAAAATAAAAGTAGAAAACAAGAGAGAGAGAAGACCACAGGCCCAGCCAGGCAGCCACAGGCCACAACATTGATCAATTCAAAATCTAAAATCCAAAATTAACAGATCGAATTCATTCTCGCTAAAAAGACTTAACAATACAATCCACATCCACTAGGCACTAGAATAGGATTAGGTTTTGTTACACGTTTCAATTAGTTAATTAATTAAAGGTTAATAAAATATTTAAAGCTGGCGATAACAATCATGATCCATATCCATGCAGGAGGAATAAACTTTTCATTTGTTAGAGAAAGGCGTTGGATGTCATAAATTTGGTTGTTTTGTTTACAGAAATAAGAGCAACAAGTTGGTGTTATTTAAATTTTAAAGACGACGGGACGTAGGGCTTCACAATGCCGTGATCCAAAAACTAATGGCGTGAAACACACACAGTCACACACACTCCCAAACCGAGGCCAATATTCTTGCAGCTTACACTACACCACCGTTTTAATAATTAAACAAAATAGCCCATTAAGAGGCCAGATATATAAATATAATTTATTATCTGGAAACTCACAAACTGGCAATTTCAGCTTTCAGGAGTTGCCCTCAAAATCTCAGCTGCTAGCTTGTTCTGGTTTGTTAATGGAGTAACCTTCCAATTCCATTCTAGCACGTACTTAAAATAGTATCTTTTGCAACTCTGTCCCATTTATTTTTCTTTCAAAGCACTTGTCTTAAAGCAGGAGGCTATATCTGGGGTTTCAGGGAGCAATTAATTCCAAAACCATGCGTTCACTTTGCATTAATAAGTTCGGGGTTAAAATATATTTTCTTCTTCAAAATTTTCTCACTTTCTCAATAAATCCATTCACAGTCACTGTTTTTAATTAAGTGAATACTGTACCCTCTTTGCATTAATGTGGGAACTGGATCCACAATTAAGTGAATACTGTACCCTCTCCTTGAATTATCATTATTAAAATCTCTTTTAAAGTTTAGTAATTATAATCATTTCCTTTAAACTTTTTAATATAATTGTAAGTAGATTTCTCTGTTAGAATCCTCTAACAAAAGATATGAATATATCCAAAACACCCATACAGATACTCTTGATCAAAATATTTATTTTCTATTTTTTTTTCCG